ACGAAGAATCTTACATCCCCCTGGCCCGTCTGATTCCCTACTTTGACGTCCCTTCTCAATGAAAGCCCACCACCTGTCTACCTTCTGCTTTCCTTAGACCTTCCCCCGCTTCTGGGAATCTCATCAAGACCGTGGCTGCATCTCATTTCGGGTGAAGCCGCTCCAAGTGTCCGCCCTGAATCGTTTGCAGTGGGAGGAATGGTTGGACGAATTGCGGACGCTCAGCTTCTGTCTTCTCCGTGCCACCTTCGTGTACTCAAGGGTTCATGCAGAAAGACAAATAGAGGATGACGTGGTGGAGTTGTTGCTTATCCAAGCATGGCGGAATGATATTGCGGGCGAGCTTTGGGGGGTAATATACGGAGAGGTGGGCGAGGGTCATCAGGTGATTATAGCCGACGAGTTGATGACTCTTGTCTGCCAACTCGCCGACGATCTCGCTTTGATCTTGGTATCAAGGTGCGACAATCAAGTGGTTGATATCCTTAAAAAGGTCGCTCACGCCATCTCTTCAGTGGTCTAACTGTTTTGAGGATTGTGACATTAACATTTCCCTCCCCTCATAGGGCGTCCAACTTGACGGCATCATCGTCAACCCCGGCTTTTTGGCTGAGCATAAGGGAGATGGCCAAGGGATGCCAGCAGCAGCAGCAGCAGCCGAGATCGGCGATCTGGACCCCGACCTCCTAAAATAGGGCGAGTCTCGGGATGGCGACGCCTAATGCTCGCTCGCACAGCAGACGGTGCTCCCCTTCCCCCTCTCCCTCCTCCCCCGCCCCACGTCGCCCACGTCAGATTCACTCCGGAGGCCCTTCATCCCCGATCACTGTCTCAACGGCATCTTGATGATTTGATCACATCACCGTCGAACAGCTAGGAGGGCGACACCCGTTTCCGCCAACCTGGAATGCTTTCCCGTCATCTCTCTTCTACCAACACTTTGCCACCCGCCTACTGTGCACCGTTATCCCTCAACCCACTGCTGAAGTGCCTGTCCAGGGTTTACGAACTCCATATCCTATTCTTTCGGGCCACATGGAGAACTTGTAACCATGTCGAGGGAAATGTTGATGTCGCAATCCTCAAAACAGTTGGACAACTGAAGAAATGGCGTGAGCGACCTTTTAAGGACATCAACCACTCGATCGTCGCACCTTGACACCAAGATCAAAACGAGATCGTCGGCAAGTTGGCATACAAGAGTCATCAACTCGCTGGCTATAATCACCTGATGACCCACGCCAACCTCAATATATATTACCCCCCAAAACTCGCCCGCAATATCATTCCGCCACGCTTGGATAAGCAACAATTCCACTACATCATCCTCTATTTGTCTTTCTGCATAAACCCTTGAGTACACGAAGGTGGCACGGAGGAGAGAAGTTGAGCATCCGCAATTCGTCCAACCATTCCTCCCACTGCAAAAGGATTCAGGGCGGGCACTTGGAGCGGCTTCACCCGAAACGAGATGCCACGATCTTGATGAGATTCCCAGAAGCGGGGGAAGGTCTAAGGAAGGCAGAAGGTAGACAGGTGGTGGGCTTTCATTGAGAAGGGACGTGTCAACGTAGGAAATCGACGGGCCAGGGGGATGTGAGATCCTTCGTTGCGTGATTGCAAGTTGCCAAGGACCATGTCCTAATATCCCGCAGCCGGTTCCCTAACCCTCGCAAGCCAGGACTGAAAGCCAGCAGCTACGTGGACCCCACTCCCCTAGACCGTTGCTAGGATCTGATTAAACTTCCGCTGCACAGATTGCGCACCGCGACTCTAAGCGCACAGCATGCACGCGACTCCCACCTCGAGCTGACCAAATTTTACCGAACTTGGTCAGCAAGGCACCAGGCACAAAGCCACACAACTCTGCCATTTCTGTCTTCCTCGCTGATATCCTTCGATGATTACCAGTCCTTCCTTTACCCCGACTTCCTCGCTGCTGAAGCCCCCACAACCATCGATTCCCCCACTTCCCCCGCATCCTGCAATACACGGCCATCCCGAGGAGACTGCGAATGTACAACCCTCCCTTACCCCAAATGCATCCAAACCCTCCCCCTAACGTGATAAGGGTAGAGTCCGGTAGCCTACCTGCCGGAGGATTAGCTGGTCGGGCCGTCAATCTATCAGCCGAGGCAAGTTACGGAGTGGGAAAGTTACCGAGTGGGAAAGTTACGGAGCGCAAAAGTTACAGAGACAGTCCTGACGGGCTGACGGGGGGGGCCTATGTGTCCCCCTCGGCTGCGGCCGTCGCCGCCTCGGCCCCAGCCGAAGAGGCCGGCCCCAGGCCCGTGGGACCGAGTTCACGCGGGGGCGTGGAAAAAAGGCGCACGCTCCCCGCCTGCGCACGTCGACCACTACCACCCTGTACAAAAACAATATTAAATATTTGAAAATTTGGGGGGGGAGGGGGTTGGGTGAGTCACCGTGAGTGACACAAAAAAAATCAAAAATTGAAAAAAAAATAAAAAACTGATTGATTGATTGATTGATTGGTTGATTGGTTGATTGATTGGTTGATTGATTGATTGTTTGGTTGATTGATTGGTGGGGGAGGGGTCCTCCCTCCCCTCMCCCCGGCACACGTGCACACGCACACACACACACACACACACACACTCAGCGGAACGCATGTATCAACGGCCCTAGCGTGGTTGCAAACAAATGGCCCTAGCTCTCTCTCTTTCTCTCTCTCTCTCTATCTATCTATCTATCTATCTATCTCTCCGCTATCTCTCCGCTTTCTTTCTCTCTCCGCTTTTTCTCTCTCTCTCTGCTTTCTCTCTCTCTCTCCACTTTCTCTCTCTCTCTGTTACATGCTGAAAGCCTACACACGGGCCCCTCACGGGACCCGAGGTTGGAATAGGGCCCCCAGGTCGCGTCACCGCAACCTGAAGGCCCTATGGCATTTTTACTTGGGCCTGCATCAGAAAAACGCCAGCTTTAGATTATTTTTATAGTCTTTATTTTATTTATTTGCTGCTGTTTTTCTAACGGGTGTACTGTTGTCTGTTTTGTGGCCAGGTACACGCTTCTAGGGCCAGGGCCAGATTCAGGCCCAGAGGCTGAGCTCCTAAAAACGTTTGGACCTTTTCTTTTTTCGAACAGATTTTGACCTGTTCGAACCCAGGCCGACGTTGAGGCCGGGTATGTCCGCACAGGACCGGTTTGAAGCCAGGTACCAGGAAGATTAATCCTGGACAGGGCCTGGACGGGCCTGGACGTCCGGTAGGGACCCAGGCAGGCCGTTTTAGGCCAAGGACTGAACCAGTTTTCGAAGCCTGCGATCTGGACCGTGGATCGGAGTTTCGATCTGC